CTCATCTAATCCTATATACCTGGGGCAATAAGCCCCAGCGGTACTTTTCTGCCCGCTCCAAAAAACTGCAGAAGTTGACCTAAAGATTCGCGCTGGCTCCAGCACAGACCTCTGCGCTCTGTATAAGCATCATCCGCTTACCTGCGCTGTATGCGCAATACTGCAATCGAAGCACTGCTGAGCTGTAAGTGACTTTCTCATCTTTCTCTCATTTCAGGACAAATGCTTGAGGAAACTCTCCAGTGGGCTTTATACGTTTCAGACCTACCTTCAATACGTACAAGAAACTTTTACCAGTGAAAAGCAAAATGTTGAATCGCTGTGCTATAGTACAGAGCACCTGGCACGCACCATAAGACAGATGGTGAGTTGGTTTTAAATTCACTCCGATAATTGTTACGGCTTAGCACTGTTGTGTAGTCAGAGAAATACTGATGCTACGTGAAGCTGAACACTTCTCACTTTCATTTCTCTCAGCGGAAACAGGTGATGGTTCCTTATGCTCAGATACTTACCCTTAAGTAAGGGTAGACTTGCAGGTTTTACAAGCTTTTGTTTTCTTTTCTTAAAGAAACAACTCTTCTTCCTACTTTCTATTGTTATTTCTGATTTCCAAACCAACAATTAAATGCATCATATTGTTTTAAGAACAAATATACTAACGCTGCCTGGCTGACAGAAATAAGGTTTCTCAGGGAGCTTGTTCCCAGTTGTGGAACTGCAGTTCAGTCCAAGCCTTCTAATGTTGCAATCCCCTGAGAAGTAGATATAAGTAACTTTTTTTTAAAACCCACATAAATAAAAGCAAATACATTTTTACAACATTATTAATCTTTAAAGCTCTCCAAAACAAACTCTTAAGCCAAGCTGTATGGTATATTGTAGCTTAAAAATCAAGGAAGACAGTTAAATTCAGAACGTAAGTTAATAACTTGACTAAATAAAAGGTGCTGCCTATCGAAAAGCACACATTTTGCTTGTAATCATGATGGAAAAAACCTTCCTTCTTTACAAACACCCGATTTGCTTTTGGTTTGGTAAACTAAATACTATTCATTTCTCACTATTTCTGACAGTTGTTTTCTATGTTTTGGAGAGCTTTGAGAGATCACATTTCAAAAATTCACTTCATTCCTGCAGTTCTTAATCACATTAATAACCCTTAACATGAATACTTAGTCATCAGGGAAACTATTTGCCTGAGTAAGAACCAACCAGGTGAGTAAGGACCGCAGAATTAAGAGCTGCAGAAATCTCAGGGCATTATTTGCTTCACAGTGGTTTTTGGCACCTGAAAAGCCCATTGTGTGTCTGCCATACCTTTCCTAACACATTTATTTATGTCCATTATTCTTTAAGTGAAAGGGAGCTGAACTGCTTTTTTCACACTGTACTAGCCAAGAAGAATAGTCCCGTCATAAGACAGCAACTGACTACTGGCTTCCAACTTCATATATGACTTTGTAGAAAGTTCGTTTCGTAACTGGGGGAGCCTAGCCTTTTTGGAAAATCAGGATGATCGAGGTAGTTGGGACAGGCAGAATTAAACACAGTGATCAAAAGCGAAACTTGTACTTGTAGAAACTACAGAGTTTTTGAGAAAGGAAGGAGGCTTGATCTCCAGGTTGGAAATTTTTCTTTACGGAAGAAGTCTATCTGCTATTTAAGGCAAGGAGAGCAAGGACAGAATCTGTTACTTGTGGTCAGGTAGATCCATCAGCACGATAGCTATCTGGATACCCAGATACAGCCCTTTGCAGGGTTGTGTGATCAGAATCCACTGCTAAGTAGTCTGGACAGAAAGAATATTCATATCTTACTGAATTTCACAAAAAATATATTCCAGAAGGAGGTGCACGTGCTTTTGTCACTTGTTAAAGTTTAGGAGAGATCCTAAACTCAGGATGAAGCAGATACTTTACTGTTAGACTTCTAGACCCCAAGTCACCCAAAGCAGCTCCATGCTTTGGGTGAGCAACTCCCATTTTCAGAAGTCACCTACCCACTCCGCGGGACAAGTTCTTAAAAGGCATTTGGGTACCGGTGCCCAGCGCTGCCAGTCAGCATTAGGTACATAGCTCCTTTTACTCATCTCGCTGTTAGGATCCCACACATCAGTGAAAGTTGGTGACAGTCTCCCACATGCCTAAATGCCTGGAAAGTAAGAATTAAGCAGCTAAACAAGTTTGACATCTTTGGAAACTGTTAATCTATTATGAAATGTGAGAGTACTCCAATGTCACCTAATTAACTTCTGACTCGGGACACAGCAGCCAGTACAGGTTAGGACGAATCATGTTCGGCACTTCCCCAACTAACCACGCGGTCGGCAGACAGCAGGAGAGGTGTATCGATCTGTTCAGTGCAGCGTGTTGGACCACGACGCCAGACGTTGCATTCAAACCAGAAAAAGTGGTATAGATCAGCCAAGGCCCTTTGATTCTTCTGCAGTGATCGTAGCAGGCATCAGGGCACCTCAAACCCCACCGCAGAAGCGGGGCTGTAGGGAAGCACAGGTCCCAGGGAGGTCTGTCGGCAGCAGTACAGAAACGTTGGATACGCAGCTGGTCAGGAATGTATTCTACACGTAAACTGATGCTCTCCAACAAGCTCAACTACAATGTTTTAACCGGGGCACCTCAATATTTGTCTTTTTCACAGGTGATAAACCCCGATGAAGTGATCATCCCAGACTCAGCTACCCAGGAATCCCTCCGCGCAAAGCTGAAGTCCGATAAGACCTGGATAGAGAAAATCACCATCCACCTCATCCTCCGAGACTTTACTTCATTTATGGAGAAAACCGTGAGGGCTGTTCGCTATTTGAAAAATACCAGGAGTTTCAGTGTCTGAATGTTTTAATTCAGGCACAATCCTTTGTTACAAATCTGTCATGTGGCAGATGACAGTGTTGTTCTGTTTTAAGAACCAGAAATAGTAACAATGGTTTGCATTTATATACATTCTCATTTCCTTCTAGGAACCTATTTATTGTATTTAAAAATATTTATTCATTTCTAATGTTTCCTATTTATATTTTCAATATTTAGAAATAATTTAAACAAAGGACGTATTTTATTTCATTTCTAATGGTACTATTCAGAATATCAACTTATTTAATATGTATTCAACAACAAAAATATTTTCAGAAGGCAGAAAAACTTGTATAACTTACACTTAAAATATTTGAGATGTTATTTATGACTTATTTATATTTTTAGAACAAATAAAAGCTGATTTAAAAAAAACTGGTTAACCTGTTTGAACTTTAAATAAGACTAAGGAACTCTACTGTATCCGATTTTTAATACTGGCAATTATCAAAATAACCACTTTCAAGAATTTAATCTGTATAATTAGGTCAGTTATCTACATAGCGCATACATACACACATACACAGACAGCTTGAACAACATATAATTCTTAAAATGGGATATAAAGGAACCAGACGCACTGAACACGGCCCTTCAGAATGAACACGATAAAGCATCATTGCTCTTGAGAAACAAATGAACGAGTCCCCTATATTTAATAAACAACACTCCATTGTAATGTAATTGTTTTTGAGCAGATGCTTAGAAGTCAAGTGATCTCTTTTATAGAGATTACCATAAAATGGTAAGATAACAAATTAACAGGCTTGACATGAATACTGTCATCTGATTAGACTTATTGCTGTCATCTGATTAGACTTATTGCTGTCATCCAAGGGAATTTTCCAAGTTTGATTAAATAACTCTCCCGCCTCCCCCAGGAAGCAGAAAAAGAAAAATCTTAGGCTCTTTCCTTAGGTGATATAAATCAACATATTGCCGCTGAGATGTCAACGACTGTTGACGATCTAATGCATGTCTTTTTTCAAGTTATATTCCATGCTAGTGGGATTCCAAGCCACATAACATGAATGCAAATTCTTGAATACTGTAGAGAAAAAAAAAAAAAAAGGAACCTCAGCCTGAGTACCAAACCGCTGAAACCATCTCACCACCTGCTTCATTGTGGCTGTGCAGGTACCCGGTATACCCAAACTCAGAGGAATTCCCAGCACACACAAGGGATGCAAGCAGCAGGAGGCCCCTCGAGCTTTGTCCCTACAAGTGGTGGAACATTAATTACCCTCTCTCTTTTGCGCGGCAGGGTGGTGGAGATGAAAGGCAAGCCCTGGAATGTGGATAAGGATGTCAGTAAATTCTCCTCTTCCTCTGAGCGATCTGATCATCCACACACGCATTCCACCGCTGGGGATGCCAAAACAGTGACCAGTCCACCCAGAGCCTGCGTCTCAGAGGCTCAAAACAAACCAAACCACGGCTTTGCCCAATATGGTAAAACCAACATCTCGAGTTGCGCGACATCTCAAGAAGGAATGAGGAGACCTCAGGGTGGTCACTGTCAAGATGTCTGTGGTGAATGGGGTTTTCCTCGCAAGACGTAAGATCCTGCTTTAGCTGTCCTAGGAGACATAGGAAAGCCTGGTCGGACTTTCAACAGCTTACCTTCACAGAGATTTTCTTAGTGACCATTTGGTTAGAGACCGTTCTGGCCCTTATTACGTCCATAATAGCTATGAGACCCAAATATGGATCCCATGTTGGACCTTTTCAGGACTTTATTACTACTACGTGAGAACAGAGGGGGAAAACAAAGAAGGAAAGACAGACAGACCAAAAAGAAAGGCATCTCCTGGTTTCACCTCTCCCAGTAATGGGTTGCCCAAGATCACCATTAGTTACTATGTACACTGCAGCTAGACAAACTCACACTGATTTCCTCCTTGAATTCCTGCAGGCATCTAAGATACAGGGTACTGAAATCTCGCGCAATTGATAGACAAGCGTCCACACTTCCCACCAGCACCCTTCAGCTGGTGGCCACCCCAGGTTGTCCGCCACTCTGGTAAAGATGTAAATGCTACTACATTTTAGGATGCAGAAGATGAGCAAAGATCACCGCTTGCTGGGAGGGGAGGTCAACTTCAAGTCCTTCCTGGGGTGACGGGTATCGCCGATGCTGCCGCTGAGCTGCCAGTATTTTACCTGTGGCTCCTCCACAGCCACCCGCAGTCCTCAGGGTACTTCAGTGCAGCAGCTGCCTTGCTGGCCATCGCTTTGCTGTCACTGTGCCAACTTCAGGGACTGTCCCCAGAATAAGCACCGCTTGCTGAAATCTACACACACTGGCGTCTGTGGCATGTGAAGACTCGCAGTGAGGAATTCATATGGAAGTTAGAGGAGAACTAAACACTGTTGAGCATGTTATAGAGCCTCTCAAATTAACCAACTTATCATCCTTTTTCCAGTTTGCTGTGTAGCAAGTATTTTACAACAATCAATAAACACACACGGACATTTATTTTAGCTGGCAGACCAGCACAAACACATAAAAAACCAGAACAATAGTAAAAATGAGCATTCCTAATTCTTATAAATCAATCCTCAAAAATAACTGTGCTACTTTTAGCAACAGTGAAATACCTCAACGCTCCTATTGAAGAGAGCTCCTCCTGACAGCTAACTCACTGAGCAAGGCAAAAAAAAAAAAAACCAAAAAACCCAAAACGACCTGCTAATAATTGCCTGTAAAAACTAGGAAACTACCCAGCAAAGAAGCATTTTGGCTGTTGCTGTACAGGACCAGCCTCTCCCCACAGGTCCCAGCTAGCCTTTCCCCATGTTCGCATTGCATCCCTACTTGTTAACCTCACACAGAGATTTCAGAATGCTCAACAGATTACTAACTCCCTTTATCCTGAATTTGCTTTCCCAATGCAGGAAGAGGGTAAAGCTGTGTTAAAAAGCATGCATACACTCTACAGTATGCCAGAAAAAGCCCACGGCATTAAGAGACAGTGTCAAAGATGAGAAACAAAATATTCCTCAGTGCTGTGGACATGACACTAAAATGCTGGACAAGAGAGAGAAAAAAAATTAAAAGACAGAATGCAACCTAATACTAATCTGTAATGCAGAATTACTTAATTTTTTTTTGCAATGACAGTCTCTGAAGTATCATTTTTCTATTTTTAACCACACTTTTTCATCAGATGTATAAGAAACTTAAAAAAAAAAAAAAGGAAAACATTTCAGCCTGATCCACTTCCCAGGTTGCAGTACCATTCCCTGCCCAGTAAGCCTATGCACTGATGTAAACGCTAAGTTTTGGCAGAAAGAACAGCAGCTACTTGAAAGAGACTGTCTCCATCTCTAGTACCTTCACAGATCTTATTAATGGCTGATGGCAAGTGAGGTTAGCAAGACAGAGCTGGTGCTACAAGAGATGGAAGAGTTACGCCACCAGTGAAGCAAGGGGAGCAGGATCACTTTTCAGCAGTAATGAGCCATTAGGTTGGCTTAGCTCAATGGGAAACTTCCGCCCAAGTTTGCCACTGTTATTTGTGACTAATAATCTTTTCTGCATTCAATTTAAAAGATAAAATGGCAGAAAGGAAAGTATACAACAGCATACACCAAAGTCAGATGCTAATGGTCAAGAAGTGCTGCCAAATATATATATATTGCTACAAACCTTGTGATATTTGGTGGGAAGCTTTCTGTAAACCCTTGCTTCTCGAGTCGAATGATTAGATAACAATTTCTGATCTCTCTCAGTGAATTTCTTTCTTCTTCCTGATAAGAGGAAAACCAAAACCTACTCCCTCACCCACAGAAAATGCAACCTCTGTAGGCTCCAACACTGAAATACCATTTCCTCCCTGAACCCTTAACAAAATCAACTGATTTCTGTAATCTAAACATATTTAACCAAATCTCGAAATAACTTTCAAGACTGTCTTTGGCGGTCTCATCAGGTAACATGCTACAGAAATTTTACAGTCTGAATTTCTATTCAGTGATCAGAATCTAAGAAGATTCAACCTTTCACAAGAAAATCTATTTTTAAAAAATTAAACATTAATCTTCAAATTCAGAAAACGGATTTGATTTGCCCTGCTTTTTTTTTTTTTTCTACCAGACAGTGCTTACCTAACACAGTATTTTCAAGATTTTATTCGGTTTCAACTGTACTGAGTGCAAAATTCTGACTGGTTTCAGTAACAGCAAATGTATTTATGACTAGCTGTTTCTTTATCCCTTTGAACTTACATATTAATAGATACAGTTCTACATTCTGTACCATATAAATAGGGACAATATGATGTATAAGCAAATTATATTAACAGTTTTACTACATGAGAGAATCACTTAGAGCTGTTACACACACATACACAAAAGCAAAATCACCTAGGGAAAGCTCAAAGTCCCATCCTCAGCTCAAAAGAGAAAAACTACCTACCACACCGTCACTACTGCACAGCAATAGCCTGTGCCTCCTCTTCCACTTCTACTAACAATTTGGGAAGAGATGTAAAGGGAAAGGGGATTATAAATTGACTATGCCTGTGGATCCCACATTAGCACACGTTAACAAATACAATGAAGTTCAAAGATGTCCCTCAAATTGTGACACCTATACCCCTCCTAATCATACAGCACAGTGACCTGGGACAGGGCTATAAAAGAAAATGGAGTTTGTTAGAAGAGAGACCATCTGGGATGAAGGCAGATGTATAGGCAATCTTCTAGCCTGGCTGGAAAGGGGACTGCTTT